AAGGAGAAATATTGACTTCCTCAGATGCTACCAGCTGCCCTGGTTCAATAACTAGGTCAGCTAAAGGTTAAACCAGCTGAGGCATGAGCAGCAAGTTTAAATGTAACAGAGAAAAACACAACCAAAGCCTGGGGGGAAGCCTGGAGCAGATCCCTCCTGTCCCTCGCCGTCTCCTCCACTGCCCTGCAGTGTGGTCCATGTCATAGCCATGCACATTGAGCCTCTCTCATGTCTAGGGGGCTAAATGCACCTCAGACATAAATCAGTGACATTAAACAGCAATGAAATCAGCCTGTTTGCTTTGAGGTACCCTGCTGTGGTATATTAATAACTTTTTGCTTTCAGTAGTAAATTCTGTCAGAAATCATAGTCCAATTCCAAATTATACCATTTACCAAGACTAATGCAACTTTAAGGACATTACACAGTATTTTGTCTAAGTATTCTAAATCAATCATGGTTTAACATACTTTCATGCACATTTTTTAATTTTCCTAGTGATGCATAATTGTATTTGAAGCTTAGGATTTTACTGCTTGGGTGGGAAAGACACACTGAGCTTTCCACACTCATGTAGGGAATACATACTTTGGACATAGTGTAATCTGAAATTCTTCCACTAAGAAAATCAGAATGACATCTAAGCAAACCGCCTGTGGATCTCATAGCCAGGTTTTAAGCAGTGAAAAAATAATTTCTGTGCTAACACTGCCACCCATCGAAAAATAGGAGACACAGTCATATATCCCTGTTTTCATGTCTTCTCCCTCTTTGGTATGCTGCAATGCTCTCATGTATACTTAATCATCACTGCTCTCTTTAATAACAGTGCCGTTAATGAAGTGTTATCAGGTAAAACATGTAAATAAACTAGAACTAAGGGATAGGTCAAATATATCTATAGAACAGAAGATAAATTCTCTCCAGAGCAAAATCAGTGATGTATAGAAGTCTCCCTGTGAATGGTGACAGGGAGCTACTAGAGCCTTAGAGCAATCTGATCAGTACATAAGCACATATAAGCATATATATCATGAAAGAACACATAAAGCCCTGATCCAATCCAACAGAATTCTCCACTAGCTGGGCTTTTCCCTCCACCCCGAGAGAGCTGCACTTTTTTTTTTGTTATTCTCTCCCTCCGACCTCTTGCTGTTTTCTGTGGTGCTCTTATACTTTTTTTTATCTCCTGTCTCACTGATTTTAAGACCAGTCACATAATTGTTTTTTGCTTGACATGGCTTCTTCATCTTGTAGTGTAGTGGTGGTTTCCCCTGCATGTGACCTGTACCTGTTTCCTTGCCCTGATCATGAGAGGTTCCCTTATCTGCAAGTTTCCCTGGTTCCACAACTCCATCCCTGCATCATACTTTTACCTTTACCATTTATCAATTTCATAAGTATTCCTGTCACAAATTATAACTATCCATATCATACAATGCCCATTAGTAGTCAAACACTTTAGCCATGCTATTTTTCAATAAATTCCCTTGAACATACATTTGATTTTCTTTATTATCACTCATATTTCCAATGTACCTGTACCTACAGTAAATGAGATAAATTCAGTTCAGGAAAAACAGTTGCTTTCTCCTTCCCTGACTCACCTTTTGTTGTGCAGTCTTTCTACCACTCTCAGCTCCTGGTCAAAGTTATTATTTTTAGTAAAACCAACATGAAGTATGTGAGGGATGTAAGGGCTGCCCTTGGGTCAACAAAAAGACCCAAAGAAACCTTATGATTTTTGCAAATATGAATTAAAATGTTTTCAAAAGACCAACTGTTAGACAATGTACTTTAAAACAATGCTCCTTCTCTTTTTCAATTAGCAATATTATTCTCTCTCTTCAATTACCAAATACCAATCTTGATTACGACTAAAGGAATAAATTTTTTTTGTTTACACTTATAATTTTGGTTTCTGGAAAAAAACAGAATTAACTGTGCTTTTTTACTGAGAAACATCATATAAATTATGTCTTTCTGTGCTATATAGACCCTAGGGTTTCATTAAGTGACTGCATCTCCTGATCAGCTGGAAATTAAAAACTTACAGGGATGATACAGATGGAAAGATCATTAACCGAACTAGAGAAATCCATCTGCAAATCTCACTCTGTAAAGGTTTTATGTAACAGCTCCATCTCACTGAGATGCTGTGGAATAACAGGTGGCATGCTGAAAGTCTTCTAATGTTTTCCAAAGCCTGGATTTATGGATGGGGGTAAATCACTCTATTGCTTACAATCTGATGGATGAAGAGTGGAGAGTTCTAGTCTGGTGATTTATTAAATATGGGTACTGTTACAGGTTCTTTCAAAATGAAGAAAGACGGCTCAAATAATTATTCTGCATTTAGCCCAATCAGTTTCGGAAATGAGAAAGTCTCCCGAAGTTCTTGTAAAATTTAAGGATTAAGCATTTTTCAACTAAATAGCAATAGAAAGAAAAGTGAGATTACAAAGGTGATAAGATACCATTTGGTTAACTAAAGAGTTACCCCTTGATAGTTTTAGTTAGGACTTCCCATGCAATATTTTTGCCTTCATAAGAGACCATGAACTGTTTCACAAGATGAAAGTTTGTGAGGTGTGTAACCAGCATCAGAGTTATTCAGTTACCAAACCAATGGCAAGTTCCTCTAGTCCAATGCTCTCTCTATCATTTTATGATCTGAGACTGCAGAACTTCTTTCCTGTTCTTACCACAATTCTGGCAAATCTAAGATTCTTAGCTTCTACTTCTTACTCCTTAGCTGGATTCGCATATTTTTTCTCTTGGGTTATCTAATTCTTTACCTTATTTATTAATTTTGCTAAACACGCGGTAAAGGAGCAAGCTGGAGTAATCTGACCACTAGACTTCAGCAGCATAAAATCCAAAAATCTAAATGGCAACAGCACAACTTCATTGTTGGGATTCACTGTATTTGAGAAACCTGTTTTAAGCACAGGTATCTTTGCTTTGATTATATTTCACAGAATTGTTACTGTTTGAAACTGAAATTTTCCTTAGGATATGAGAGTTGCAACATTTTTTTCCACCACATCTTGATGTGAAGTTGATCATTCTTAACCATTTACGTTCTCGCATTCTTCCCTTACTGCTCTGCAGAGATATACATGATTTTTGCTTTGTAATTTCACATGCAAGACTGTTGAGGCAATGGAGTTTTCAGGACTTATGCTGAATACCTAAGAACAACATTTGAACAAAAAAAATTTAATTACTTGGAGGAATGAAAATAAAGTCCCCTGGTTATGCTGTATTAGCCCAAGCTCCTAATACCTTACTTAAATTTGCATACATTCCCCAGGTTATTGACAGTGGATGAATTTATGATACCAAGGTTCTTTTTACCATGGGCAAAGGGATCCCTGCTTTGCTTACTTGCAAAGTATTATTCAAACCTTTCATCAAACAGCCATAGACCTCACTCTAATGCAAATTGTAAATTTAAACTCTATGTAGCACTTGCCATGGAAGTAAATAGGTATTTTCAAGTATCTCCAAAACAATTTTTATGGAATATTTATTTGAGTAACTCTGCTCCCTGCTGAAGTCAGCTATCAGATGTGCTTGAGCCTGGGACTTCAGAGCTACAGGCAGAACTGAAGCTGTGTGTCACCCCTTTGCAGGGGTGATAATGGTGAACTTACCCATATGAATCCCTAGAGGACAGGTCTGGTCCTGGGTCTTTTACTTTGGTTTCTAATATATGTAGCTTCTAGTCCTTATTCAAGCAATCACAAACTTTTAGCAGATTTTAGCAAGATTGAATTTCTGATATCTCATTAATAGCTGGTTATTAAAGCAGAAATTTTTTTCAAAATAATAATAATAAATTAATTCCCTAAGAATAGTGTTGATGAATTAAAAATGCACCTCCAGCAATTCCACATACAAGGAGCTTTAGCAGCAGAAGCTAACTTTAAAAAAGCATAATATACACATTTCATGTGTCTGCTTTTGAAGTGGAATTGTTCTGTTTATTATTCCTGCACCCTCACACCAACAGGCAGACTTAAAATCCATGAAAACCATGGAAAAAATGAGGAGGAAAGATAAGTGGAGAAACAGAAAAGTAACTAACTACTTTTTCCTTGCCTCAGGACACACTCATGCACAAAGCAATTACTAAAGGATTATTAAACAGAAGCAAACACGGACATATATATTTCCTGTCTCCTCTAATTTCCATTACTGAAAATATAAACTTTAAGTTTCAAAACAACCAAAATCTGGAAACACTTAGGAATCATACTTGACAACATATTTATCACCAGATGTGGTGGGCTGATCTTGGCTGGATGCCAGTTGCACACCAAGCCACTTTATCACACCTCCTTCTCAGCTGCCTAGGGAAGAGAAAATAAGATGGAAAAGGATTCATAGGTTGAGATATGTCAGCTTACTAAAGCAAAAATGAAAGTTTGTGTGCGCACAAAGAGAAGAAAAAAAACTATATTCTTCTAATTCTCTTCTTTCTTCTACAGCAAGTGATGTCTGGCCACTTCCTGGGAGGCAAGGCTTCAGCACATGTAGCAGTTGCTCCAGAAGGCAAACATTAATGCCCCTGGTTCCTCCTCCTCCTTTTCTTAGCTTTTATATCTGAGCTGACATCATATGGTATGGAATATCCCTTTGGTCAATTTGGGTCTAGTTGTGTTCCCTCCCAGGATCTTACCCACTCCCAGCCTACTGATGGGGGCTGGAATGTTGAGAGACAGCACTCATGCAGGGCCAGCTCTGCTCAGCAGTAGCCAAAACACTGGAGTGTTATCAATACCTTTCCAGCTACCAACACAAAGCACAGCACTGGGAGGGCAGCTGTGGCAAAACGAAGCCAGACCCAATACACCAAATTAATACAATTTTACACTGATTTCAGATAGTTCTTTTCACATCCATTACATTGTTTTGAATGCATATATTTGATATATTTGGATAAGAAGTTGAAAACTACAGGATGTGAACACCAAGGCAAAACTACCAAAGGATACACAGGAAAAGATCAGCATCTCTTTATTAGGCTCACTGCTAACATTAATATTGAATATAGAAGTAGTCCTCTATTTTAGGAATTAAAGTATAAGTAGTTACTTTACAATTACAAATCTCTCGGGAATAAAAAGGTTGCCATATATTTCTACAAATCACAGTATTCATCTGTGCAGATAAAGGATTTTTATTTCAACACTACAAACTATTTCACCAGAGTACAAAAAAAAAAACCAAACAAATAAAAAGAGGATCATAAAGCTTTTCCCTTCTAGAAATGTAACTGTAATATGTACACTTCTCACATTCTTACTGGAGCTCTGCAATTCACTGGGAACTTGGGACTTCCAGGTTCTTCTTTCTTCTATATAAAACTTCTAGATTTCATCACCAAACTCCCACTTGCTGTTTCTTATCAGCACCATGCTCAAAAAACATGAAGTCCTTAGGGGGCAAAAAAAAAGCAAACAAACAAATACTTAATGTGGTTCTTATTTCAGAGATCTCCTGGTTGCTCTGCAAGGTGTTCACCTTCCTCTCTGAAACCTCAAATGATAAGAAGGTGGGGGTGCCTGTTGCCATGCCCCCATCACTTGGGTCTCTCAGCACGGGACACCCACAGAGAGAGATGGTGAAAGACCAACATGGAAACTTTTATCACTAGCCAAAGCTAGTGATCCTTTACTTGGGATTCTTGCCCTGGCTTTGTTCAACCTGACTCAGTCCCTTTCATTTTACCTCAAACTGGATTCCATTGTAATAATGATTATCTTTAAGTTTACATGTGGAGGGCCCGTTTTCTGTGCTTGGAGTCCTGGCTTGCTCAAACTCACTAACGCTGTACTTGATGCACAGGAACACACACAGCTAAACAAAGCCTCGTTTGTGCACAGGGCTGTTAGAGGCTGGTGACACCATCCCAAACTCAAGGTGCTTCACGTACCCCTTTCCTCCCCCTCTGCAGCCCTGCCAGCACAGAAGCAGTGCACGTTTTGAAATTATACTGATGCAGAATTGCACAGGTAAGTGGAAACACAAGTGTGTTGCAGCCTGTTTTCAAAGAGAACTGCACTGCAATATTGACAGAGCAGACTCTGACTACAGCTCAGAAGTGCTCTAACAAGTTCAACATGCTTAGCCTCCACAGTAGCCCCTCCATATGGAAATTACTCCTCTGAGAGCATTTAGTCCTGCTCAGCTCAGTGCTTCACTTACTTCCAAGGAGAGTCAGGATGAGCTGGCTGCAGCATTCAACTGTCCACCAGCTCAGCAGGCTGCTCTGGCTTTGCATGGATCTCTTGGCTACTGCTGATCTGTATTTTTCTGGTTTCAACATTCATATAAACTTGCTTTCTTCTGCTACTGCGTCTGTAAGGAGTCTTCCCTCTACAGGTTTTTTCAGTCCCATTATATACTAAGCTCTTCTTAAATACAATTAGCACTTCATGTAGTCTGGAACAAGCTTATTATCTAAAATAATTCTGTATTGCCTTTTACGGTCAGTTTTACACACTGAAGTTCAGAAGCTGTCACCCACTTCAAGGAGCTCAGAATCAAATCCTTTACCAGTACAATCTGAACATGAAGATGAAAAAGTTAGTTCCTATTCAAATATTAGTGAACAACAGACTTACAATAAGGAAGCAAGCTCCAATCATAACAGCTTTCATTTTCACATCAAGGTCCATTGGGAATGTGATTCCAAAGTTATCTGCATCTGTAAAGGCTTCTTTCACAAACCCAGTCCAATGCTTAGAAATCCTCCCAACAGTACAAGTCTCATCCAGAGATTTCACCTGGTTTAATATAAAATCAAAACAACATAATGAAATCTGTCATTCATAATATTCCCAAATCCATGTCAGGGTAGGTCCATTTGAAAGCTTCAGACTATGTTATGTGAATTAATGTGATTACTGAATGCAAGTGTTTGTACCAAAAGGCAATCAGACTATCAGAAAGTCATTCTTTAGTAGCACAGCCATGAACTTAATTCTGAATCTGACTGCAAGTTCAATGTTTTAATGTTGCTGGGAGACATGCACACACGCACACACACACACACACACACACACGCTCTCTCCTGGAAGTGCTGTCTTTTAGCCAAGACAGTGAATTATTTTCTCCTTCCATTTATCAGGAACTGCTCAAGCGAAAATTAAACAAACTACATTCTTCTGTTCCAAAGCAGAGATTAGCCCTTTGTCGACATTATGTTTCGCAAAGTTAGGTCCAGTCTTCTGGGTCGTCTGAAAGACTAGTTCCCAAAATAAAATCATACTAAATTTACTTCAGTAACCCTTTGCAACATTATTTTAAATATTAAATGGTAGGCTAGTATATCTACTACTTAATGTGCCTTAATCGCTATTAATTTAAAGTGCAAGTTGCAACTCCTCAGTCATTCAACTCTATATTTTAGGTTTAAATTATCTTGATTTACTAGTTCATTGAATGATTATTAAATTATTAAATATGTGATTGCAGAAAGTAATTTCAATAAATACCTAATACAGCTGAGAATAATTTTTTTTTAGGGCCTAACATAATAGTTTCAAAAAGACTTTGCTCCTCAATATTTTAATTAACTAATTTGTGTGCAGCCACAGGGAATTATTCTCACTGATCATGAATGAATGGCTTTAAGATGTAATTTCTGGCATTTTGTCTGTTTTATCTAGAGTAATTTAGATATCTTGAGAAGTGAGTTGATTATACCAGCATTAAAAGATTATGTACTAATTACTTAATATATTACCTGTTAACTGAACTGTTGTATAAGTTGAGCCACAAACTACTATGAAGCTACTATCTGAAAACAGATACATGCAAATAATTTTTAGCTTTCCATACCTCAAAATTAACATCCTCAAAACAGCTGCAGACAACACATGGGCCAGTAATTTTCAGTATATCCATTCCTTTCTCATCTTGAATGGTAAACTTTGGCAGGCAGGGATGCCAGTTCTGGACAACATAACCAACTCTTGTTCCCGGAGGCGCCTGAACTTCCACCTTTGCAGGAAAGAGAAAACCTCCAAGTGAGTGTTTATGCTTTGATATGCTTGGGAGACAAAACCCACAACAGCACACAAAAGAAACCACAACAATCTGGCCTTTCAAGGCATGACCTGCATGGAATTTTTTGTGAGCATTTTCAGAAGACTGCACTCAGATTGAAGACCTCAAATTCAACTTCTGCCTTCAAGAAAACAGTAAGAGAGAGACACAAGCTATGCATCTACAGTATAAACATCAAAGTCCAGTGAAAGAAATATAGTAAGTGAAGACATTAGAGGGTGCAGCTACTACAAATCCTTGAGTAATAGTTCTAAGTAGGCTCAGATTTAAAGTTGCAGAAGTTCAATCATCTCAGAATTATGTTATCATTAAAAAAACTCATGATCTCATGAATTGAATTTCACTATAGCTTTCACAAAAAATCTAGCTATTATTTTATGAAAGCCATTGTCTTACTCTTCTATTCCAAGTCCACCTTCAGTGCAGATTTCAGCACTAGCCACAAGTTCCCTGACATGCTGTTCAATCAGATTTTTCATTACCGTAATCAGAAATGTCCAGGGTGAGTCCAAGTGTTGCAGCACACTTCCTTCTTCCCAGACTAAGAATCCCACTCATAAATCCCACCAATCTCTCTTTCCACAACATACGGGTAAAACCTGATTTGTTTCACCTCACCTCCTGATTCAAGACCTCATCTTAAAACTGCATTAGGAGGTCCCTGTGCTGTCTGAAGGAAGGCGGTGAGAGGCAGCAACTCACCTCCTGCAACTTACCTCCTGCAAACAGCAGGGACAGCAGCACGAAGAACAGCGGAGAGGCCTCTGCAGCGTTATCACCTCACGGCCCACGTTGTCTATAATCCGGATGGTGAAGGGTCGTGATGGTCCACAGCAATTCCTGGTGAGGCAGTCAGTGTCCTCTGCTGCAAAGTACACCCTTTGCCCCAGTGCATTCTTGAGCTCATATTTGTTCTGTGTTTCAAAGCCAGTCAAAACTGAAAAATAGGAGAAGTCTGGTCAGAAATCTTTCCCTGCTAACTCCACAGCTACCCTTTGGGAAGGCAAGCCTCGCTCAAAGTCCTTCAGAGGCAGCTGCTGGCAAAGGGTAACGGGAGGAAGGACTGTGAAGCAGAGAAGCCTGATGAAGAAGTTCAGAGAGAAGTTACCATGAACAAGGACAGGCAGAAAGAGCATGGAGATTTCCACCAGTCCCCATTCCCCCCCACCAGACACAGACACCTCCTGCCAGAGCAAGCACCACAGTTACCAATAACAGCATGGAAGATTCTCAGGAAGAGCTGAACAGACGAGAATTAAAACCACTTGTGAATCTGGGGGTGAAGCCAGGAAAGGGCACAAATATGTTCAGAACGAGAAGGCCACTAAAAAGCCTCACAGTCAAGATTCACAGCAGTGCACATTGAAAGCAACAAGAACCAGGAGAGAAATTTTAATTAATTTCTATAACAAATGAAAGCACTCTTTTAAGTTTTATGGAAAAAAAATACAGTAACATTGGGTGTCAGCTGAGATGTATGGTCCATTTTATTTCTTCTGTTTGAAAGACACTGATAACATGACTTTGATGATCTTAAAGTGAATGTAATGAGGGGAACAGAAAAAAAGCCACTGAGTTTGCTAAAACAGCAGGATTGCCTGTAAACAGCATCAAAGCCACATGCCAGTCTATGGAATTAGGTGGGATATGACAGAAAAGATCTTTAAGTAGGGAAGAGAGGAGAGTAGAAATCATAGTAAATAACATTAGAAATGTGTGACTTTATCTATAACTAGCTATCAAGATTATTCAGTTTCATTGCTGTGTAGAACCTGCTTAAAATCCTCTTCCCTCCTAATTTCTCCTTCCTCTCCTCCTTAACTTCTGCAGGAATTGAGACAGGTTACTTGAGGCAGGAAAGTGAAAGGAGATGATCCACATACATAGTGTTAAAGAAAGTCTAAACTTTACTTTTTTTGGGATTATTAGATTTAAATACTTTGTACTTACTCTCAAGTAGTTCAGTTTGCTGATGAATTAATATCTGGTCAATCTGTCCATGGTTCAAAAATTAAACAGAATAAGTAGTTAACAAGTTGTAACTAAGAGAAATGTAGTTTTAAGAGCCATTGCTGTTTCATTTCAGAATGAAAATTTGTGGATCAATACACTGCATAGAGGCAGATCATCTACCAATAAAGCTGCGGAAGTAGTTCACAGCCCCTCCTTGTCCTGTCCACTGTCAGTTCAGCAGAACAGTGTTCCAGAGCACTGGAGCTGATGGCAGGAGCTGTACCCAAACTGGTCTGGGTACAAGCATGCAGGACTAACATGCCTGTGCTCCTTTCAGGACTCGGAGCCTGACAGAGATCCAATATCACAGGTCCCAGAGCCTCCATGCAGACCAAAGAAGGAAAGTGAGACACTTTAGAGCAGAAGCTCAGCTACTGCTCAGCTCTGAGGGAAATTCAGGGAAAATCAGCCTCTCCTCATCACTGCTTTTCTTTTTTAGCAATTTGCAGAACTTGCAACAATACGCCAGCGTTAATCTTGCCAGTGATGAGATGAACTGTATTTTATAGTACAAGGACATATCTATAATACGGAAACAATTTTGCTATTAGCATTCTCTAGGTTGTGAAGTCTGACTAGCACCTTTACTAACAACATTATGAAGTAGTGTGAAAAAAGCATGTAGAAAATTAAGCACCTCTAATGTTCTACAGTTTCCTATATTACAGATATTTGTTGTATACACCTTGCCAAATCATGTTACATCTCATGAACAGCAGCTTCGGGAACGGGAAGGATGTATGATAGTCCTGTGCCCCTCGTCCTTTAGCATCTTACTTGGACAAGTCCTAGAGCCATAACAGGCACATCCACACTCAGAGATGCATCTGAGGCTTTGCTTAGCAGCCCAAAAGCAGCAACCCACACAGCTGCAACACACCCAGATGATTTATTTTGCCTTTTCATGGATGCAGGCTGCTTCCCAAGTGAATCCCCCATCTCTGGAAGGAGGAAAGGTGCAGGTACCTGTGTGAGGTATTCCAGTCCGGGAGGGCAGTTGGGAATAGAAGGAGGGATAGGCATCCAAATTGCCCCCCCCTGCATGACGGGCTGGTTCTGGACAGGTGGAAAAGCAGGTCCGCCTGGGAATCCCATGGGCTGTGCTTGGAAGCCATAGTTCCCTGCACCTGAGACATTTGGCATGGTAAGAGAGAGACAGTTATGAAAGTTAGATATTGGAAAAGAATTGCCCCATTGATCTTCAAAAGATTATCTGGTTCACTGTTTTGAACTATGGAGATCCTTATACCTTCTATATTTCAGTTATGAACACAACAACCTTCATGAAGGAAGTTACACTGGATTGGGAAGTTCTAATGCCTCAGAAAAAAAACAAACAAAATAAATAAATGCAGCATTCTTGAATATAGCAGAAATTTCATTCACATAAAGACAGGCAATTCAAAAATTAGAAATAAATGAATGAAGGTTATTTCTAAGTAGAAAAGACAGAAGGCTTTAAATTCCAAGAAAAGCACTGGCATTTACAAGTTGTCAGTTGAGCAAATGAGTAATTTTAAGATAAAGTTTTCCTGAAATGACACCTTCTATTTACATGAAAGGAAATGCCTTTTTAGCAAAGATTATCTGTAGTTTTCAAACCAGAAGTCTGTGACCTAAAAACTGCACTTTCCCATTTGTTTAGTGGATTCTCTGTCAAAACCCAGAAAATGCACAACTCCTTCACAGAGGAGGCGCGCAGTAAAGGAGGAAAGAGTTCCACGTTTTGTGAATGTCAAGTCTCCAACTGGTGCTGAACAGAAAAAAAGCTCTCAGGGAGCACTGCAGGGTGTAAGTGCTCAGCAGCCCAGCAGATGGCACAGGCAGCACTGCCTCGGTGTCACGGCCCATCCCTTGTCCCCCTGGGCTCAGAGCCCTGCCTTCCTCCACCCCTGTAGCTGAGGCTGCGGAAGTTGAGAGTCAAAGTTACAGAACGACAACTGTATTTTTTCCCTCTTTTAATACCTTCCTGGTAGGCAGACAGGCTTTCAGTCTTACACAGAGGATTTTACTCACGTTTACTCAGAAGTGAGCACAGTGCAGAAGGCACAAAGAATATTTTTGTGGAGCTGTACAAATAGTTCGAGATACTGACTTGTAGACTTATCTTTAGCCCACACCAGCTCAGCACCAAATTTCACATTATATTACAATACACGGACTGTTACATGTGAAAGATCAGGCTGTGGCCATAACCAGGTCAGTACTGGGTGATGTAAACAGCTGTGGCTTAAAATTCATAGGTGGCCAGCTCACCCTAGAGAAGAATCCACCCTTTGAGAATACAAAATCACTTTTATGTCTGAGGCTTACACATAAATTATCTACTACTATTGTGTGCAAGTGTGTGCACATACATTTACTCAAAATAAAAATGCTCCCGTGACCTTCATGGCACAGGCAGTGAATGTTCATTCCTTGCTGAAGCCAACTGTACTTACAGACCTCAGCCTGCCTTGTTGCAAGATGCAAAAGCTTTAACTTGTGAACAGCACAGTAACTTAGGCCAAACATTTTGCATTTTATCTGTAATTTATGGTTTGAGCCTGATTGTTAGATATCGCACACTGTGATTCGGTGCTTCAGAAAGCAGTCATTGGCAGAACGAGAGAAGCTGTTTAGGAGTGCTACATTTTGAATGTAGAACAGAAAATAAGAAAGAAAAGGAGAAAAGCAAGTGAGGGAAAGAGTAAAGTATAACCATGTGCTAAGTACAGCAATAGAGCAAGAAACGGGAACAGAATACGGGGACCAGCAGAACTGCAGGAGGAAAACAATTATCTTCAGTTCTGGATTTCTTGAGAAAGATAAAGTGAAATACTGAAATAACAATTAAAAAAATCTGATCATCAGTAAGAAGCTGCCACACATTAATTGCTTTGCATCAGTTAACCGCCCTAGCAGGGAAGTTTGATCAAAAACACCTCCCTAGCAAACTCCCCACAGTGACCACAGGAGAATATCTGACATTTTTAACGCCTACTGCTGTTGGTACTGCTCAGCATACATTCAAAAAAGAAAGAAATTACTTTCCAGCAAAGCAGAAATTAAAGAAACGTTATAGAATGAATAGCAGTAAATTGGAGATGATCACACTTGTACAACCCCATATTCCCTGTGGTTATTTCCTAATAGTATCGCAGGTCTGTAACCAAGCAACCTACCTTGGTAAGGCCCAGGGACGTGCTGAGGGGAGCCAAAGGGGACTCCAGGTGCTGTGGCAGGTTGAGGTCCTGGAAGGATGGAATATATGCTCTGAGTATTGATCTTTTCCTCCTACCCTAGGCAGAAAGATCCCCAACACTGCCTCCTTTTCCAGAATACACACATAAATTAGGCAGCTCTTTTCCGTATAGCAAAAACTGTACATCAAGCTCATATTTATGAACAGTGTGTATATTAAACATCAGTATAACTTAAATGAGTTCTGGTCCTTAAAGCTCAGAAAAAAAGGCAAGTATTGCCCATGATGCCATGAATAAGTCACGGAATCATTTGGCTCAAAATGGACCTCTTGAGATCACCTAGTCCAAGCCCTGCTCAAGTAGGATCAGTTCACTCTGTCTGCACCAGAGGTGCCTTTGTTCACTGATATTTAGAAGGAAGCTTTAAATCCAAGCATTGTCAGGAAACTGACAGGCTGCCCTTCAGTACAGAACATGGAAATGATCCACTCCCCTCTATGTAAAACAGCTTCTTCCAACTTCTTCAAGTTCAGACTGTAGTACTGCCTCACCAGCACACTGGGAGGTCTATGAATTTAAAAACATTTACCAACTTCAGTTTTTAAGCACAAATAACTTGAACTTCAAGATTACTTATTTATTATTTTTATTTCACTCCAGAAATCAAGAACTGAAAATGTAAGCTCTATGTTTTGTAAAATATTCAATATTAAAATTTCAATTTAACACTTTCATTCATATTTCATATAAGTAAAGGTAAACTAATAGCTAAGCTAATATTGCTTGAATACCTTGGAAGGACCCATGCTATCTTTGATGTTAACCAAAGATGACATTTTATTTTTTACTCACCTTGCATCATCGCGGATCTGCTTACAGTTGTTCTGCAAAAGAACATTTTTATATCACGATGTTTTTAATATATAATTTCACAAAAGAGTTATTCAGTGTTCTCTATTTATTACTGATAAAAGATATTTGCCTGTCTAAACCATATGGGAAAGCTGAATTACAAATACAAGGTAAAATAACCTTAAATGTCTCAGCTTCCTTCTAAGCTATGTCTCCACCACCACATAAATCTGAATTATCTATGCCTGCATTCATGCTTTGAGTATCCCGAAATCATCCCCAACTCAGAGGAAAGCATTGGGATGTGCAAGACTCCACTGTGTAGCCATTCAGAAACATCATGCAATTCATATGAACAAATTACTGTAGTAATTTCAGAGCAGCTGGTTCAGTGTATTGATGCTGACAACAAAACCTGCTGGGTAAATACTGGAGCAGCCATCCTGCCCACGCTACCCCCTATTCAGTTCTTTTAAGACTATTCCACTTCTGAAGTGGTACTACTAAATAACACCTATCCAGTTTTCACCTTCACAAGATAAAAAAAGTGGGCTCACACAGGGGAGTGAGATGCTAAGCAGAACACCATGAGTGAAAGGGCCAACTGCTTGTCTTTTTCTTTCTACTCTTCCAGGTTGCCAAAGGAATTAAAACCAAAACAAACAAAAAACCGCCACAAAACACATACAAACAAACAAACACATACCCCCCTCCAAACAGAAACACACCACACCAGAAAGAACATTTAGTAATAGCAGCACCAACCTTGAGAGATACTTCTTTTAAGTCTCAGGGGAAGTCTAAAAAAGAATGGAATAGGCACTAATTTTTAATAGAACCAAAAGCTTTTAAATAAAAAAATAAATCTAGTTCCTTTTCAAAAATAATCCAGTTTAATTTAAACTAGTAATATATTTTGTCTGTTATGGATCTTCTAACTACTTCAAGGAAGATCGTCGTTCAAAGCTGTGAATGAAACTGAAACTGAAAGTAATTCCTTCCTGTTTTCACTCCCACAGTAAAAGCAGATATCATGGAATGATGTTTATTGGTTCTGGGATGGCACGGAACTAGCTCATTTCCCAAAACCTACACAAAATCCTCTTTGTTTAATAAATTGCTCTTAAAGCCATCCTTTCTCAGTATTTTTTTTCTTCTATTTACAATTATATATCTAATTTAAAAATCTGAAAGAACACATCCAAACTACATAACCCAAACCTTGTTCTCACAGTTTATGCTATAGAGTGACAAGTTTAATACATGACCATATTAATTATGTTGACAAAACTACCAGCTTGTAGGAGTATCACAAATTGAAAAAAAATAAACAATGTTATTTAAACTAGCAAAAGATCAGTTTATACTGTGAGATGTTCCAGCTACCTGACCTTCAGTGAAATGCTGAGAATTACAACTAAACCCTTTCGTAAAAGGAAAGACAGAATCATAAGATTTATTTAAAAGAAAGGCTTTATAGTAGTCCAGAATCTTTTATTGTCCCTAAAACCACACATATATGCCATTGTACAATCTAGGATTTAGAAAGTGTTGATCTGCTCTATAGCTAGAAAAGTAACAAAGATTTTACAATGCTCAGCCCCCATTTCATCAGACATGATGTTAAAGAGAATAGTTAAGATTATTTTTTTAATTAAAATTGTCTCTATTCTTCTGCTGCCTTTTATCTAGACTCCTATTATCTCCAATTCAGTCATCACACATTGTCAGTCATGCCCTGCTTTTCATCTGGAAAATTTATAAAGACTGTGCAATACCATGAAAGTCTGAAACACCACAGGAATGAGGAACAAAAACTCACTTTTGTCAACCTTTATATTGCACAATTTTTTTTTTCTGCCAGGTTTCCACATGTGGTGAAATTCCCACCTGGCGAAACTTCAGTCAAGAAGCCGTAGTAACCGGAAGACCAGTCACTCAGAAAATGTGCCAATAGCATCATGCAGTCTCCTGAGTTAGAAGGGACCCACTAGGATCATCAACATCCAACTCCTGGCTCTGCACAAGTCAGCCCCAAGAATCACACCATGTGCCTGAGAGCATGTCCGAATGCTTTTGGAACTCTGTCAGGTTTGGTGCTGTGAACACTCCTCTGTTGGTTCCACCTGCCTGGGTTGCACAGAGCAATAAACCGGAGCCTACATTTTCATGTCAGTGTAATAAAAGGTGGCTTTGCCTACAGCTAGGTGTCACTAGTTCTAGTAGCACTTTTCAAATAAGTATAGAGAACGGTCATTGAAACATTACTTACATTGTTGAGTAGAGGTTTTTATTTTTTTTTTAATTTTTTTAGATTTTTTTAATTTTTATAGATTTTAGTAGAAGTTATGTAGATTTTAAATGTACCTGTAGTGTGTTTCTCATGATGTTATATCTTCTATCAGTATTTTCCAGTAGAAGTAACAGCAGGAGCCTAACAGCTGTACATATCAAACCCCCTTCCCATATCCATTAGTTGTTTAGTCTTCTACCCTAATGCCTGCCCCAGGAATGTAAAACATGGACAACAGGCTCCAAGGGCTGCACGTGCTTCGATGAAGAGGAAGATGATGAAAGAAGGGTCCCAAACTCCTCCAGACTCAATTCTCGAAGGGATGTGCTGGGGGGTGGGGGGAACAAGGCAGAACTGGGGAGTGGACAAGCAGGGATTGGATGGACATCATTATAAAAACTGTAACACCTGAGTCGAAGCATGCGCGTATGGGTTTGTATTCCTAGAGCCTGGAGGCTCATTAAAACTTCTGCTCTCTCATCTCCTACCTAAATTGGCCTGGAGTCTTTTTTTCTCAGTTTCTTAGGCATCAACATAGCAGGGAAAAGTGAAGGTTTTTGCATTTAGCTCCCACTAATACAAATGAGGGTTAATGCTATTTCTTTGTAATGGAGTTAAAATTATGTAGAATTAAAGAAAAAAAAAGAAGCAAAGTACTTCAGCAAGTAGTAGTCCATTACAGAATTCATTTTGGTTCAACAAAAACAGCAGCTGCATGAATCCCTTGTGCTAAGTACTGGTGAAATGCTGCAACATGAATTCACAATATAAATCAGGATTAAGTGTGTTGGAGTGAATAATCTGGCCATGATGTTCCAGAAGAAGCAGCTATATATCTTGGTAATATATCTTGTAATCTGCTTTATAAGGCCTTGAACAAAATAAATTTGAATTTAGGCTGCCTTTAATCAGAGGGATGAAACAAAATAACGGCCAAAGTTTATCCTTTTGAACCTAAATTTTGCAAGGATCAAAAGGGTCCTTCACACTTTATTTCATTACCTCAGGTTTTTGCTAATCAAACATGGACCAAAATCCCACAGCTGAGTGCTGAAGGGCAAGATGTGGTAGGAACCAGCCTCACCCCTCCCTTGGGCTAGGGATTTGCCAGGGAGCCTGTGCTGGGAAAAGCCATCAAGTTTTGGCTTTCCTGACAGATTCCTGTAGTAACTCGTATCTATGGGTCCACTCTCCCAAAGGGAGTACAGATTCTCTCTTCTCTGAAGTAAGGGACATACTTGGGTTCAACTTTACACAAGGGGAAGACAGAAGTGATTTTGCTGCCAGAAAGGAGGCACTGGGGGAACTGGTGATGCTTCACAGAAAGTGGGATCAGGGAAGGTGGGCACTGCCAGATGCTCCTCCTGAAACTCACAACCTGAGCCCCACAGCTTGGCCTCCAATCTCAACCACTTGAATGCTGAGAGGAAATAAATGGCAGAAGAACCACCACCAACACCTGAAACAGTGTTTATATGCCATGTGCAGCCATTCAGCTGGGGGTTGGCACACTGGCAGCAGACCCCACCCTTCATTTGCTGTACTGCTCATGAGAGAAAGGAACTGATACCAACAAGTCCAATTTTTCATACCCTGTCCCTCTATACTGTACTATCTAGAACCCATATTGCCAGCCTTCTTCCACATCCGTAGGAGTTCCCAGACCTTTTGCCTTTGCTTTCAGAAGTAGCAGTCAATTGCTGGGATTACCTAGTCCCTCTCACCCAGCACAGCACAACCAATTCCTTACAGAGTAAGGAAATAACATCCCTAGATAGTTCCTTTTTTATGAATGGCAGATTGTCCATGTTCCTTTTTCAGTCACTTTCTCATTTTCAGAACTACATTACACAGCCCACTCTGACACAAGTCAGTAGATATGTTCCAGTAATTCAGAGACCTCATAATTACATTAACTACAGAGCTTCTGCTTTTTATGAGGAAAACAGCATAGTAGAGAAACAGGCAGTTTCATTTCTTATCCAGCTCATTAAAATGCTGCCAAAAGCATATTGACATAAGCCCCCAAGCACAAACATTACACATGGTTCCATTTAAATATCAAGCCAGACCCTTTCCAAGGGGGTTTAACACAAAAAAAAAAGAAAGCCAAACAGCTGTGAGCCATGCATTTGTTTACCCCAGCCAGTTTTGTGGCATTTCTTCTCATCACGTTACATTAGACTATTCAGCCACCAGATTTTAACCTTGACTGCTGGAGAAACAGTATGCTTAAAAATCATCCAGTTGATCTAAAGTTAACGAAACAGTCTTCAGAGAAGGCACAAATGAAATAAGCTGGAAGTTGACTCAAAATATTTTGGTTCTGATGCTGCCCTTACACTGGCATCTGTCCTGAAATCTAGGAGGACAGACACCTGGCAGCCAAAAAATCAGGTCACACCCAGGGTATCCGCCTCACTGAGACGAAGGCGCATCTCTAACACTGCTCACTTCACTGCTGGGGTCAGGACCACCGCTGCCAGAACTGTGCTCCTGCTGCTCTCTCGGGCAGGGCTCTCCCAACATAGCCTGGGCAGCAACAGCTTCCATTAAACCAGTCTTTGCAAGCGAATTACTTCACTAAAGAGAGCTAAATTCTAACTTAACGTGCAATTCCCAACCAGAAAATGTGGTCCTTCTGACCATCAGGCCCTTGTCACAGCCCTGATGTTAATGAGAGCATCCCCAGAGATGCCTGAGAGGACCGCCTAGAAGGAATCATGGCGATGAGGACACTTATAGCCGCAGCAAAAAGTACCGTTCCCAAAGCCGAGGCGCAGCTCCTCTATCCTCCTGTCCTCTCCCCTGCGGTGACTGTGCACATCTCGCCCGGGCGGTTCGGGAACACCCAGCGCTGCGGGGCGGGGCTGCCGATGCCGCCCCGGGGCGGGGAGCGAGGGCAGCTCTTGCTGCAGACAGGAAATTGAGGTTTGAGTATTGCGGGGAGACGCCGGAATTTCTGCAGGTTACTGAGCTTTTCTCTTTGTGGCCTTTACTCTTTCCATCTCCGTCAGCATCAATGCCGACTCCGTGCCTTTTTAGTTAATAATTCATTAATTTAACTGCCTAATTTTTACCTTTTAGTCGCAGAATATCAGGTTGCATACAGGTGATAACTCCGAGCTGCATGCCCACCGTGGAAGGAAAACAAATTATATTTGAAAAAATTTCAGCTTGTTTATAAGGCACCATCCCAGGGGGAAAAAAAAATATATTTACGTGGACTTCATAGTTACAGGAACAAGAACAAACAATACTGAATTGTTCGGGAAACAAAGGACTTGGAGCAAGTTGGCTCACACCCTGATTAACAGCGTTGGTGAACTGGTCTTTGCATCCTTTTCTATAAACTTACCTAGTGACCTGCTGGCGTCCACATATAAAGGAAACTGTACTTCATCTAAAGCACACAAATCTGATCACAGTAATTAGTGCATGCATGAAACCCAGGACTGAGTATTCAATTTGAATCCTTAATAAAGAAAATGGAAATTAGTAAGTGCAGGTGACTTTGTAGCTTTACATGCTCTTTGTCTTTTTCTTCCACCCCCCAAAATAAGGTGTCCATTTCAATATTGAAGTTTCCATAAACAAAACCAAGCCAAACAGCAAACAAACAAAACTAAACAAACAAAACACCCCCAAAAAAACCCAAACCCACTATTATTCTAGCCCTGCACTGAACGTCACGTAAACACCAGATATGACAAGGATTTGGGGATTTTATTTTGCTAGTTTCCTCAGGTACAGAAGAATCTAATCTAAAGCTGACTAGCATTTTTCCACACATCTGCATAGAGTTCACTAAGAGGATTAATAGCAAACACCCAGAAATAGGTTTTAAACATCTTTTAAGAAATAGGTATAGAATTATTTTGACATGGTTGGGAAATTAGAAATACATGGTAGCATTTGATACTACCTTTATTTTTTACAGGAACATAGCACAGTTATATTTAGCTGAGTTCAGACTCATGCTGAAATTTAGCAAACATGACTTTTCGACACAGAGGTGAATGCTGTTTCTTAGATGAGAATACCATTGTTTTATCAAAGAGAACAGAGACAGCAGCATACATCTTCCTCTTCCATTCAGGCATTTATCAGTAGGAAAATACCTATTCACCTGCAGTGGCAGAAAAAAAGATGCCATGATGCACACAATACACAGTAAATTATTAGCCTTTCCCGTATCCAATAATGTTCCACTTCTTTTCTTATCTAACTAGGATCACTGATGCTATGACTGTCAGCCAGTGCTTTTCTGTTAGATCAGTGGATTGAAATGCTCAGTATCTTTTTGTTTCCTCCAGTGAGCAGACTTAATCAGTGTTGCAGGGAAACGCCTAAAACATTAAGAAAAGAAGTTGGAATCACTTCAAGAGAAATGAGAAAGTGACCATGCTTCTAGTAATTTAGTCTTTTCGGTTTAAGCATGTTTACCTGAAAAAGAAACATTATTTGTAGATTCTTGATCCCATTTTCTAGGTATGTTGCTTATGGTCGACATACTCAGAGTACTTTCTACTGCTTAATTTCTGAGGCTCCAATGGCAACACCTCAACTGATCCTGTGGTGTCCAACACCAGAAATAGGATCAGTTCCTCCATCAGCTTTTCACAAACAGTGGCCTCCAGTATCTGGGTAGAGTTGAGTTGATCAAAGCAGCTTTCATCTTTCCTCATAACACCACCTAAGCAGCTCCTTTTCCCTTAGTGCTCAGGCACTACAGTCTGTGGAGGGAGCATGGGAGGAAGTTCAGTCAGGGCTGTACATGAGCGCAAACAGCCTTTGTGCAGCTCAAAATCTGTTTAACCTCATTTAACCTCAGGAAAGGCACTGTTTGCATTGCTAAAGGAAATAAAAGTAGTTCCTGTTGGGTTTGCCTTCTGTGCCAGTGGACATGATCCCACAGAAGACTCACTTCTCCAGCATCTGTGATCTGGAAAGCAAACCTGGAACAGCAAGCAAGTCATGGGAGAGAAAGATAAGCTGTGAGTAGCTGTTGTCTTAAATATAGAAAAGACAGAGGATGTGAGGTTTGAGGCGCAAAATTGAAGGAAATAAATGAAAGAAGGAACAAAGGAAAAAGAAGAAACAAAGGAAAAAGAAGAAACAAAGGAAAAAGAAAGAAGGAACAAAGGAAAAGATTTCCTTCTCCCTGTCTAGGCCAGGAAAGGCTCCTGAACTGCACTGGGTGGAGCCCCAGCCAAGGGGGACATTTTTTTCTGCTATTTCCCATCCCTCACTGTGCACAGTCTGAAAGGCTGCTGACCCTCCAACCGTGTACACAGAGGAATGGAAAAGGTACTGACCAAGTCCAGGTCCTTCAGTTTCTGTAAAGCATTGTAAAATACTTCCACCATTGAATGGAAACTGGTGAATACAGGAGGAATGGTAGATCCTGACTGTACCAGAGATGGCAATATTGGCTGCTCTGCACTGTACAGGTTTTGCTGGTGAAAACTACACAATTTACACTCACACAAAAATGCACTTTCAAAATCTGACTAAAGTGACAATTACCTGATACAATTTTCACAATAATTAGAACTTACTGGGAGAGTTTTGATTTTAAAAGACTGACTGTGACCCCAAATATTTACATTAAAGGAATCTTATCCAGAATAATTTTTTTTTCCTTTTTCCATTTATACTATTTGTTATACCCAAACTAATAGTGGTTTTGAAAGCAGATAGGCAAATAATAAAATGTTGCAATAGGCAAAATCTACATTTTAATAAAACATGATGAGTCTAATATCAGACCACCACCAGTGTGACAGACATGATGTACAGGCAGTAAAAGGCAGTTTAAATCCAAACATTTTTAAAAGTGGATAAATTGCTATTATTATTATTTCTTTGATGTGGAACTGGGGCAAATGGATTCCATCCTGCTAACAGCTGACAGGCACCTGACATCCCCCAAGTCTCAGTGCAGCTCTCTTTTTTGTTTTGGTAATTAGACCTTCACTATGATAATAAAATATGTATTCATGAAGCCAGAAGAGCAGCTAACACATCATCTCTGTATTAAAGATTTGTAACTGTGGTAACAGGACTGTTCACGTATTTGATTTCATTTAACAATGTCAAGTCAGTCATCAAGCCTGCAGTCTAACAAATGAGGGCTGGGTTTTCCTTTGAGAGGAAAACTGAGTGAAAATGGTTTTAGTACTCTATTATCTTTGTTAATTCAGCACCCAGATAGCATGATTGGACAGTTATGAGTTCCAAACCATACAAAACAGCAGCCCTTATATTTTTACGTATACTGACCAGCAGTACGTCCCCTCGGGCTGTCAATAACAATCGTGATAATCACTTACAGAGGAAAAGCAGTTCCTGCAGTGAGCTGTCAGCCATCATCATCAGCCTTTCCTCAAGACATTTGAACACAAGGCGAAAACAACAATTAAATAACAATAGAAACAATACATCACATTTGGTTTTGCTACTAAATGTTTTTGTGACAAAGCAATTTCTTTCTTTGACTGAGAAGGAGGTTAAATAAAGTTTTACTGCTGCCAGTCATGCACGTTTTTGAATGTCAGCACCGTAGATGAACCAGCATAAGCCGCTTTGCAGTCAGAAAACAGAATATAGGGAGAAAAAGAACAACTCGACATAAAGAAATAGGCCATTACAGTTTACAGCATTTAGGATTAACTGTGATACCAAGAGTTTAAAATGCAGCTTCTTTAAATCCTGTTTTCTGCTAAAGGGATATTGGTACTGCAAATAGATATTTACAGGGAACATTTTCCTAGGCATGATTCTTTTTTTCCTAAAAGACATAATTAATTCCAGCATAATTAATGCAACAGGCCGAAAAAGTCAAATCAGGACAATTCCACATGCCCCATCCTGGACATATGTCCAGCTCCTGAGTGTTGAAGCTGGCACTCTGAATTTCCAGGCTGCTTAAAGTTATCTGCATTTGGGTTTGGGTTTGTTTGATTTTTTAAAAGTTTTTTGCAAAGCCAAGTTCTTTCATTTAAGTACTATTGCAGGAGGCACTAGATCTTACAGCAGCAGTGACATGTTAGTAGTCCTTGAACACTCCCTCTCTTCAGTGCATTTCCTCACAAGCACATTCCATCCATGGGTGGGATTCACTGGCCGAATTCCTTTACAACTGATGTTGCTATGCTGCTATAGAACTGGAATTGTATAAAGCAGTTATGATAGGATACCCCGGGCCCTTGAATTGACATGTTCCCTTTTAAAATGTACATAAAATAGGGAAGCCTGTAAGCAGCAGCCCATTGCCATGGTGCACAGGGCACCTCTGGCTTGAGGGAAGGAGTCTCCTCTGCTCCCTTTGCCCATCTTCCAGAGCCCCCACTCCCCAGATGCGTCTCTGTTGAAAACAGCAAAGAATATCATGCAGCACCCAGGCCCATATCTGCTTTCATTTATAGTATTTTAGTCTTTTGGACACTAACATTGCATTTGAATTCAACATTATGAAAAAATAATGCCTTTTAACTCTACTGTTCTTGATTAGGCACTCTTGGCTTGCCCAGGAGCTGTTGATAAAGAAGCAGCTGTAAATGAGGCTGGGTTTGATTGTGCTGTGATATGCACTGGCACTTCTTTTATCAGCATGGGGACAAATAGAGCAATACCTAAACACAGAACCTGAGGAGAGGATGTTATTAAAACCAGTGAAGTCCAAGTTAACATGTTTCATAAGACTCATCTGATAAAAATGGACTGGGGACATTGAAGCTTTCATTAATTAAGAAGACAATTAAGGAGTTGTAAATGTAGAAGAAACACTAGATCTGCAAGAGTTTATGAGGTGAATTTACAGCTCAATTAAGAATGAAAAT